TGTTCTTTCTCTCATTTCTTTTCTTTGTTAAATCCACCTATACCTACTGTTCCTTAACATTTGATTCTTACATTATACTACAGCCTGTCTCTCATTCCCTATTTCTGTCCCTCATAGAAGGTTCCCACTGTTGACTGGTCTATAGCATAACCCACCTGTATATAGATACTAGCTACTAAGCCCTACTGCCTAGGTGGTAGGCAGAGCGTGCATAGTCTCTGACTGAAAAACGCTCTCTAAAAATGGAAGAATAATAATAATAATAATCCCCTCATCAGATAATATAATTATCAAGTAATCCTTTAGTATAAGGGCAAATTAAAAAAAATTAGATTTTTATATTATTTGTATTATATTTTAAATTACCTACCCAAAGGTTACATCCTATCTAAATATAGTAAGAAATATTTGGAACCAGTGATTTAACCTTTTTTTAAATTATTTTTTTTAATATATATTTTAAATCTATTTTTTAATATATATTTGTCATCCAACAGTATCTTACCGCCCTTGGGAAGACATACATGACATGTATCTAGCTGTAGCAGATAGATAATTCAGTCATCATCTCTGGTATCAGTCTTTTCCCTCACACTATTAAACCTTTAATTAAAGCCTAATTTTTAATATAGGTTTTGTTTTTTAAAAATAATTTTATTTTTCCTAATATAAAATAAAAATTTTGTTTGGAACTAATAACTTACATATTTTTTAATTTTTAAAAATACTAAAAAGGTACTTTTAATATGTAGGACTTAATAAAGCCTAATTTTTAAAATAGGCTTTAGTTCTTTTAAAATAAATATTTTATATAATATTAGTTATATTTCTCCTAAGAAGTTTTGGTAGGGATACCTGCAAAATCCCTAAGAAGTTGTTAGGTGCCACTAAGTTGGTTAGACATTACACCCAAAAAGATGAGTCAGCGGACAAACTGGGTAGGCGGTGAGCACTTAGTGCAGCGCCTATGGAGTAGGGTGGAGGGGCTGAGGGAACTGAGGTAACATATCTTGGCATAGGCGGAAGAGAGTTAAGAGGAAACCTAGGTATAACAAGAATGTAACCTTATTAGGGTTACTATTATTTGTATATACAGGTTTTGGCTGCACACTATTATACATTGACGATTAATTTCACCCTTCCATGCCAAGGATTCCTACATCACTTCTTCTTCAAGCTTACCGACAGCACCCTCTGTTGCCTGTCCTACTCAAGGAATGTCGTTCACTTGATTCTGCTCAAAATGAACTACGCTGGCTTCGAGAGAAGGCAATTAATGACCTTAGGGTCCACTGTACCAGAGAAAACCAACAAGAACAACAAAGTGCCAAAGGCACAAAATGGAGAAATCAGCTGAGATCTATGTGCTTTCAGCGGGCAAGAGGAAAGCCACTGCAATATATCCTGGGGGACCAGCCCTTTGGAGAATTGGAAATCTTATGCAGAAAAGGGGTTTTGATCCCACGGTTTGTCACTCTCTCCTTTCTTGATGCCTGCCCCACCTCCCTTCCCCCAAACCTCGCTGTTTCTGTGAGGCATGGTTTTGTCTAATACCTCTCCCTTTTATCATGCAGTGTTGAAACCGAACTGTACACATTCCATGCTGCTGATCTGATTTTAAATGACATGGGATACAAGCACTCCACACAGGCCAGACCCTTACATATACTGGATCTTTGTACTGGTTCTGGCTGCATATCTCTTCTATTGCATGCGCTTCTTGCCCCACATGTCAAAGATTTGACTATCGTTGGCATTGATCTCAGTTCCAGAGCTATCAGACTAGCTCAAAAAAACCTGGAGCACAATCTCAGACGCGGTTTACTGTCCAGTCGCGCTAGAAGTGAAGTTCTGTTCAGACAAGCAGATATACTGGGCCTTCAGGAGATACACTGTCCCAAGCTGGAGGATGTTCTAAGTGACCAGTTATTATTAGGACACCTCAATGGAAGTGGATCCTCGATTCCGAGTTCAAGTCTTTGTTGGGATGTTCTCATCTCTAACCCGCCATACATATCTCCTTCCAGCTTCAAGAATGGGACAACTGCACGCAGTGTCCGTGTCTATGAACCAACCCTAGCCCTTGTCCCCCCTTTATCTGCTCTCTCAAATTTGTCAAGGTTAAATGTCGGGAACATAAGGCAAGAAGATGCCTTTTACCCGCAGCTACTTTCTCTGACATTCAGGTTGGGGACAAGACTTGCTATTTTCGAGTGCGGAAGCCTAGCACAGGCTCAACGTGTGGTATGTATGGCCCAAACTTTGGCAAGGCAGGTGGAACATTGTAGGGATTTTGCTATCGATATTTGGCAACCATGCATTCAGGATGACAATGATCTTAGTGGCGCGCGAGCTGTTATCTTGAGAAGGGTGCAATTATAACAGGTTAGGAGCAGAAGCTATTTGCCATACCGGATCAGGGGGGTTTTAGAACCAGTCAATCAACAGTCATATGTCAGGTTTTTTTTTTAAAAAAAAAGTTCTTCATATCTGATTGTTGCTAAAAAAATAACGTTAGAGAGAATTAACCATTAATTAAAAATAAAGGCTTCATCTTTTTTCTCTGCCCAGGATATGACTCGAACTACGATCATAATCTACTAAGCTATGCCATGAGATTTACATATAGGAAGGAGATAAGCTCCAATTTCTAGACTATCTAAACTATCTAAATTCTGAAGTTGTGGCAGGGAGCTACATGTAAAAGCCGCATTTTGGAAAAACTATTTCTATAAATTGACCTTTTCTTATAAATTAATGTTTCTAAGACTTATATTTTTTTAAAAAAATTAATGTTACTTAATCACTAACTGTAGAATAACTGTTATATAGCCATTTTAGCATAATTCTAATATTTCCCATAATAAAATAGTTATTTGACCTTAAATAACGGTTAAATGACCGTTTCTAAAAACCCCCTTGATCCAGTACGGTGTTGTAAAAGATAACCTTTGTGGGTTTAGCATTACCCTCATGTAAGTCTTAACCAGCAAAATCAGGATACTATTATATAGCTTCATGGCCTAAAAGGGGGTTTATACTTTAACCCAACGAGAAAAAAGTTCAGCCCAACTAAAGGTAGTTATTAAGATACCTTACCAGAGCTTGCAGGTGCCAAACTACAGTTAGGGTGGCTGACAGGGAAATTCATTCCCAAGTTAGGACAGGACAGGATTTTAGAATAAGACAAATAATTAATTAGAATTTCCTATAAGGATTTCTTAGGTAGCTAAAAATTTCTTATAAGAAATCCTAGAGTAAAACAAACTAGCCCAAAGGATTTCCTTATTTTATAAAGTTTTCCTATTAAAGTACTATAAGATTTAGAAAATCCTGCTAAGAAATCTTAGTAAATAGGAATTTCCTAATATATCTTATACTATATAGTAGGCATAAAATTCTTTATTACTTTAAGGTATATTATAAAATATTATTATTTATATGGCTAAAAAAGCCATATTTAAAATTTATAATTAGCTATAGGCCTTTTATAGTAATAAATCTTTATAATAAAATAAATTAAGAATTTACTTAATTAGTATTTTACTACTTAAAAATTATTACTTAAAGTAAATAACTAATCTTTTTTAAGTTAAGCTAAAAATCCTTGTTATTTAAGGTTTTAAAAGTTATATTTTTTAACTATTTTTTAATTTTGCTGGTATACTTAGGATTCTTATATTAAGCAGATATTTACTTTTAGTACCTTATTACTTACTAAAAGCTATTAAAACTACTAGTTTTATTAACTTTTATGTCTCTTTTTATTTTTTAAGTTTATATAACTTTTTAGAGTATTATTATATTATTAAAGTCTATAAAATTAAAGTAAATATTAAGGCTACTTAAATATGGTACTTAATAATATTAAAAATAAAATAGTATTTATTTAGCCTAATAATTATATATTTAGTTAAATTAGTAATCTTATATTTTGTTAATTATTTGGTAAAACTATAATTTATTACTAAAAATTATCACTTACAAAAACTAGCTACTTCAAGCCTTTTAAATATAATTTATAAGGCAGTAATAATATTTTTATTGTTTAATAATAATTGTGACAGCTTGCAGGCAGATGGCTTAGATGCATGTTTTGGGAGATAGGTTTACATAGGCAGTATAAAGAGCAGTAAAAGAAACATGGCAATTCTGCCGTAGCATGAACTACACAGATTATATAATGACTTGATAATAATAGTATGATTAATTATCAAACTGACTATAGAACTACCTAAGGTAGTATAAAGATATACTATAGGCAGTAAAGAAGGGCAGAATATTAGAATAGTATAATATTATCCCCTTATTCAGAAAAATAAGAGTAACCCTGCTCTATCTATATAATCATATTAATATGAGTATTATAGTAAAGCTATATAGAAATTAAGAGGCTTCTAATATAAGGTTAGAGCCTAAATATTTAGTAAATACTATCTCTAAGTTAATTAGATATCTATATATGAATAGAGTATCCCCTTAGCTGCTAACAAAATGTTCAAATTAGCGCCTCGGCACTTGATGTTATTATTGCTCCATATCCTTACCACTTGTAACTTTTGTTAAAGCCAGCAGAATCCATATATACCAGGCACTTTGACCAATAATATAGACAGCACCTTCAAAGTAGTAAAGGCTTTAACCAATAAGAGCTACTACTGACAGTGCTAATTTGAATATTTTGTTAATAGCTAAGGGGATAGTAAGAGAAATAATATTAATATAAGATATGTATTAATAAAGAAACCTTTTAGCTATATAACTTTTAAATAAAATTAAAGAGCTAATTAAACCTTTTTATTTATAATAATATTATTTTTATCCCTGATATTTAAGTTATATATAATATATATTATTCTTTTTTATAAAAATAATATAATATTAGGTTAATATAATATAAGTAGGAGACTAGATTTATTTTAAAAATATTATTAATAAGGTAAGATATTCCTTAAGGTTATTAAGAATCTAATAGCTAGTATACATATTAGTATTATTAATAGTAGCTTTTAAGAAAACAAGTTATTTATCCTTAATTCTATTTTTTATAATTTTACATTATTAAATATTTTTATAATTTTATAAAATATTATTAAAGGTATCCCCTTGGCTGGTGAGAAAGGTGGTCAAATTAGCGCCTTTGCAGCGGCCACCTAATTGGCCAACTGTACCTACTGCCTTCGCACTAATATTCCCCTTTTGGTATCCGTGGTGTTTTCTGCCGGATTTCTAGAAAGCGGTGAATAAATAAACCAATGAAGTCCATTGCCGCTGCCAAGGCGCTAATTTGACCACCTTTCTCACCAGCCAAGGGGATAGCTAATTAGTACTATAAAGTAATATTATATAATAAATGCCTTTTAAAGTAATATTTAAAGAAAAGGTGCTTACAGCTCAGAGTGGCCAGAAAAAAGCTCTAATCATCTAGAGCAATTTCAGAACTAATTAAAATAAACCAAACTAAATTAGTGTCTAGGTACACTCAACTTTTACTTATTATACCTAATTAGGTTAGTACCTAATTATATAATACTAACCCTTTAACTATACTTAATTGGGCTAATCTATAAAATTTTTTTAAAATACTCAAGTCTAATCTAGTATATGCTTATATCTAGATAATAAAGTAACTATCTTTTTTTATATCTTCAACTAAATACAAATTTAATAACACATCCAACGCTGACACAAAATTGATGACTTCTATATAAGAAACAAAATATATTTTCTTTTATATAGTAGGAAATATATTTTTTTACTTCTTTACCTACTAGTATATAACTCTACCCCTTTTTATTAAGGCTAATAATAAATTAATATAATAGGTAATAAATTAAAGAAATAGCTAGAGCTAGTTTAAAAGACTAATAGGACTATTAACCTATATAGTTAGCTTTCTATAAGAAGTTGAATAGCTTAAGGTTATTACTAAAGAGACTAAAAATTTATTACTATTAAATATCTTAAAAGCTATTAAATCTATATTTAACTTAGCTAAAAAAATAGAAAATAAATTATCTAATTGTAAGCTTAAAAAAAACTATAAAATATTAAATCCTCCCTATAAGTATTTATAAAGAAGTAGATATAGATTAATAAGGTAATTATTAATATTAAAACTAATATCTAATATGTTATCTTAATATCTATAATAAGCTAATTAAAACTTATAAGCCCCCTAATATCTTACCTTAAAACTATAACTTAAATAAATATTATAATATCTTTTTAGTCTTTTATATTAGAGTAAAAAACTTAAGGATTATAATATTACCTTAACCTTCCATAAAACTTTTAAGCTTTATATAAAATTAATCTAAGTATAATTAATCCCCTTTAGAGGAAACTAGGTAATATATATATATATATTATAAATATAGCTATTAAGGAATCTAGAGATCCAATAATATCTTTTTAAAAGGTTTTAGCTAAATAAATTCTAAATAATAATAATATAATCCTAATTATAGACTTATTTAAAGGTATAAAAAGACTTATTAAATTAAATATATAGGCTGAAGCCTTTCATTAAGAAATTATCTTTGATTTAAAGATTAATATAATAATATATAAAGGTTAATATAAGGATAGATACTTTTAATTAGTAAGCCCTAATTAAGAAGATCTTGATAATAAACTATTAAAAACTAATAATTATATATAAACATACTAATATTATCTAGGTAGGATAGTTATTAGGTATAAGAAAGCTTATTGATAATAGATTTTAATATTTATTATAAATTTTAATAATAGATATATAGTAAATATAGTTATTTATTTAAGACTAAGATTTAATATAAAAAGCTACCTATATACTTTATATAACTAAAAATAGTAGTTTTAATAATACTTTAAATATTAGTTATATAAATATATTTTAGTATACTATAAAAGAACCTAAGTATATACTTATTATATAAAGCTATATAATATATATAACTACCCTAATAAAGTAGATATAGCTAAGGCTAAGTATATTATATATAGGAAATTAAGGTACTATTCTTTTAATTAAAATATAAAAAATATAAGGAGACAATTTAAAAGATTTATTAAGGTTAAAAGACTCTAATATTAGCTTATTAAACCTTAAAATAACCTTAAAAATACTACCTAAAAAGGTATAATAAAAAATATAATTATTATAAATCCTAATAAAGACTTAATACTAATGAGCCTAGGCTTTAAAGATACTAGCCCTTTAATTTATAAGCCTACTAATAATAGTACTAGAAAATATACTTAATTTAAAAATAAACCTAAAAAAAATAAAGCTAATAAAGATTAAAAGGAGATTAATAAAATATTATAAGCCTTAGAGTATTATTAACCTTTAAATTATAATAACTTAAGATATTACTAAATTAAGAAGGGTAGATATATATTATAAGAGAGAATAACTTATTTAGATATAAAGTATTAACTAAAAGATACTTATTAAGAGAGGTAGATATTATTATATAAGCTATTAAAAATAAACCTATAAATATTAAACTATTAATTAAATTTAATATAGTAATATTTATAATTAAAGATATAAGTAAGGCCTTTTTAGTTCTTAACTAGTTATCCTTATATTATTTATTTTTATAGCCTTAATAATCTTAAAGCCCTTTTAAAACTAATTACTATAAATATACTAAAAATTATAAAAATATTAAAAAAATATGAGCTTAAATTACTCTTAAGAGTAATCTAATAATAAAGATAAATTAAATAGCCTTAATATATATATAATCCTTTAATATAATTATAGACTATAAAATAATAAATAATAATAGAACTAATTTATTATAATTATTTAAAGATATTTTAAGTAAACTACTAGAAATCTAAGACAAAAGTTATAACCTACCTTTTTAGTAAGGAGGAGGTAAAGAATATATGTTTACTATCTAGGAGCCCTAGATTAACTTATATATTATAAAGAATATTATTTATATTTAAGCCTTAAAGGGGTATTTCTATATTATATTAGGCCTTTAGAGATATAGAAATAATAGGGAGTAAAAAGGCCTTTAAAATTTATTTTATAATTAGTAAAGATATTAACCTTGAAATACAGTCTATATAATATAAAAGAGATTTTAATATATTAATATTTTATATAATTATAGTCCCTAATAAAGGACTATATATTTATAATATAACCTAAGCTTTAATATTATTAAAGGTACTAATAATATCTTATTACTCTTTTACTAGATTATATAATAAATAATAAATTATTTTTAGGAACTTTAATTTTTACTATTTAATATAATTACTACTAAGGTATAAATATATATATAAAGAGGTAAAAGACCTAGTTAACCTAGTAATTAAAAAAATAATACCTCTTCCTATTATTAAGTATACTTATATATAATAAATATAGTTAGAACTAACTCCTATTAGACTACTACTAACCTAGTCTAAGGTATTATTATATATAGATCTTAAAATACCTAATAATTTATAAAATATAAATAGATTAGAAAGCTATTAAAAGAGACTATATCCTTATTAAGATAACCTTTAATCTAAGACTTATAAAGATAAAGAGGTTTTTAATTATAAGATATATATAAAAATAAATAAATTAGGATATTTTCTTTAGGATTATAAGGAAATTTAATTAGAACCTTTACTAAATTAATAACCTTATAAATATTAATAAGACAATTAAGTATATAATTATTATATTAACTAAAATAGTAGAGGTAATTACCCCTAATACTATTTATACCTTAAATATATCCCTAAGATAGTGATACTAAGGTAAAAGGTTAGATAAGCTTATAAAAAAAAGCTAAGCTTATAAAGGTAGATAAAGACTAAGAGGTATTTAAATAGTTATATTACAAACTAAGCTATAAAATAATAAAAGTAGCTATTTAATTATATTAATAAAAGGTTAAAGAGGCTATTTAAATATAAAAAGGTTTTTAAAAGCTAATAAAATAGGCTAGGAATTAAGGATTACCCTAATTTATATTTATACTTACTCTTATTAATAAGGAAGGTAATAAAATTAATATATTAAATAGAAAGGTATACCTTTTTTATAAATATTTTTCTTCTACCTTTTAAGGCTAATTTTAAAAATTATTATAAGCTATTAATATTTAGACCTAATCCTAGTCTAAAATTATTTAGGTTAAGAATATTATAAAAAATACTATCCTTTATAAAGTATTGGGGCCTAATAAAATATTAAACCTAATATTCAAAAGTTAACCTTATTATTAAATAAATAGCTAATAAATCTTTTTAATACTTATTTAAGATATTAATATTTATTTATTTTTGTAAATCTACTATAGTTATCCTTTAAAAACTTAATAAAAATAACTATATAGATCCTAAGTTATATAAGCTTATTATATTATTTAATATACTTAATAAGATTCTTAAAATAACTATAGCTAATTAATTAATAAATTTAATAAAAAATATTATCTTTTCTTTAATCATTATATAAATAATAGGAGAGCCTAAGCTTATAAGTATATGATTTATATCTTATTAAAAAGGATATATATTATAAAAATTAAGATACCTAATAATATCCTTACTAACCTTTAATATTTTAGGTATCTTTAATAATATTTCTTATACCTATCTATTATATAACATAAAAAAGGAAGATCCTTTTATAAATAATAGGTTAGACTAATAGTTTCCTCTAAGGCTATATAATTATAACCTAAAAAGAGATAAATAAATTCTTAATTAATATAAGTATCCCTTAAGGATCTTTATTCTTATTAATCCTCTACCTCTTTTATAATACTAACCTTATTAAAAAACTATAATAAGCTAATAAT